AGTATAAGCCCTGTAAGACATAAAATTGAATGAGTTTTTGACCCTCAAAAAAATCTCCATTTCATTCTGAAATACTGTTTCTTACAGAAAGACTCATTGTTTTTGGTACTAACACTGAGATGTTGGTACATGTGTCTCTAATCTATATATCTGACTATTACTAGTCGTAATTGTTTGCAGTCAGATCCTTGGCGCCTGTGTATGTCTATAAAGTCATCAGGTAGATTTCAATGGTAATGTTCAACACCTCTGCTAATTAACATGACGTAAACTTTTATGCTTCCTCCTCAAATATAATGCATTTTTAAAAATTTGATTTTTTTTCTGTGTGTGCATATTACACAGAACATCCCAAACCATCTTATTCAACTATATAACCACATCCCTGATGGCACCCTCCCATAGCCTCCCTCCCCTGACTAGAGCCCTTATACTCTGTTATCCCCATTACTGTCCGCTGTGATGTCATCACCCCCAGCCATTCCCCACTACTTGTCCATCTGGTTAATCTCCTCAGCCTATCTAGAGGTTGTTGTTTTAGGAAGGTCAGCTGTTCCTCATCTAGCAGCAATCAGTTGTCAGTATTTCTTTTGATAAGATTGGGGTCTGCTGTTTATTTTCCCAGTTCTATGCTGGGTTATTACCTGGGAGTCCTGTGGGCCACCCTGGCCAACAACTCAAAAGAAGGTATCTCCTATCTGGTATTGTTCCTTGTTATGTAGCCTTTAGCTATACATATGGACTCGTGTGTTCTTCTAACAATTGCAAAGTTTCAGTCTTCAGATGGAGGTCTTTGATCCATTTTGCATTGACTTTTGTGCAAGGTGAAGGAAAGGGGTCTAGCTGTATTCTTCAGCAGGTGATGATCCAATTTTGCAAGCACCATTTGTAGAATATGCTGTCTTTCCTCCAGTGAATGTTCTTGGCCCCTCTTTCTAATATCAGGTAGCCTCCCCACCGCATCAGAGCCCTATACTCTGTCATCACTGTTACTGTCCACTGTGATGTCAGTGCCCCCTCCTGTTCCCCAGCACAAGTCCATCTGCTGAGTCCGGTCGGCCTATGCGGAGAGTCTTGTTTTAGGTAGGTCAGCTCTTCCTCATCTAGGAGCAGTCAGTTGCCAGCATCCCATGAGATGTGACTGGGGTCTCCTGTTGATTTTCCAAGTTTGATGCTGGGTTACTGTCTGGGAGACTCTTGGGCCCCCCTTGCCAGTAACTCAAATGATGGTTTCTCCTGTCTGGCATTGTTTCTTGTTACGTGGCCTTTAGTGATACAAACGGACTCTTCTAGAATCATACGGGTCACTTTCATCTCTGGTTATACTTTCCTATCGGGTGTTTAAGAGCATAGAGTTGGCTCAGAGGAACCAATTTATTTTCACTGTTTTTTTTTTTTTAAAGTATTTGTCATTTTTAGTTTATGTGTATGAGTGTATTGCCTGTGTGTGAGTGAGTGCTGACTAGAACTCCATCTTGCCTGCAGGTAAGTAGTCCTGAGTCGAACTCGATGTTATTTACCAACCACATTTTCATTATCTACTCGTCGTTGTGGGGAGTCTTAGGTTGCTTCCTTCTCTGAGCTGTTGTGAAAAGAGCAGCAAGGAACATGGATGTGCAAGTGTCTCTGCAATAGGATGAGTCCTTTGCGTATCTGCCAAAGAGTGCTGTAACTGGGTCACATGGTAGGTCAATTTTAGTTTTTTTAGGGATTCTCCACACTGCTTTTGGCAGGGGTTGAACAAGTGTGCAATACCAGCATCAGTGGAGGAGCCATCTCCTTCCCCCACGTTCTCTGCAGCATGTGGTATTATTTGTTCTCTTGATCTTAGACAATTAGAGTGGGGTAAGATGAAAACTTAGTGGCTTTCCTTTTTTTTTTCCATATTCACTAATGATGATGAACACCTTTTACGATGCTTCTTACCGATTTTTGTTACTTGTTTTGAAAACTCTCTGTTCCTCTCCTTAGTATATCTTGTAAATGGGTTCCTTCTTTTCTTGATTCTTTGATCTTTGAATTCTGTATATATTCTAGATGTTACTCCTGTCAGACGTGTCACTGGTGAAGATGTTCTGCGACTCTGTGGGGTTTCTCTTCACTTCCTTGGTTGCTTCCATAGATGTAGGGAAGCTTTTTAGTTTATTGTGGTGCCCTTGGTTGATTATTGACCGTAGTTCTTGAGCAATTGATGTCCATTTTAGAAATCACCCTTTCCTACACCTATATCTTGTAGATGACAGTCAATGTTTTCTTCTGCCGGTTTCACACTTTCAGGCTTCATTGTTGAGGTCCTTGATCCATTCTGAGCTGACTCTGGTGCAAGGTGAAAGATGGGGGTTTAGTTTGATTCTTCTTCGGGTGACGATCCAGTTAAGCAAGCACGATTTGTTCAATATGCTGTCTTTCCTCCAGTGAATGTTCTTGGCCCCTTTGTTAATTATCAGGGAGCTGAAATTACATGTACTCATATTTTGTTCCATTGATCTATGGTTCTGTTTTATTGCCAGTACCATGTGGTTTTTAGCATTATAGCTCTGTAATACAGTTTAAAATTTGTAACAGTAATCCCCCCAGCACTGTTCTTAGTACTCAGGGTTGCTTTGGCTATCCGAGGTATTTTGTGCTTCAGTATGACTCTTAGGATGGTTTTTATCAATTCTGTGAAAAATGTCATGGGGATTTTGATTGGCATTGCATTGAATCTATAAATGACTTTTGGTAGGATGGTCATTTTCACAATATTAATTCTTCCAATCCATGAGCATGGGAGGTCCTTCCATCTTCTGATGTCTTCCTCAATCTCTTTCTTTAAAGATTTAAAGTTTTCATTGTAGAGCTCTTTAATGCTGTCCTAATTTGTTCTTCATTGCTATGACAAAATACTCAAACCACTACCAACTTGGGGAGCTTACATATCCCCGGTCACAGTTCATCTGGGAGCCCAAGGTAGGAACTCAGGGTAGGAACCTGGAGGCAGGAGCTGAAGCACAGGCCATAGAGGAATTCTGCTTACTGGCTTGTTCCCCTGGCCCCTGCTCAGCCTGCTTTCTTATGCAACATGGGCCCACCTGCCCAGGGGTGGCACCACCCACAGTGGGCTGGGCCTTCCCATATCACTCATCAAGCAGGTGCCCCATGGACATGGCTACAAGCCAGTCCAATGAAGAAAATTCCCCAACTGAGGCTCCCTCAACCCAGGTGTGTCAAGTTGACACTAAAGCTCTCCAGCACAAATGCCTTTGGTCAGGTTTATTCTGAGATATTTTATTTTTTTGCAGCTATTGTGAAGGGGAGTGTTTCCATGTGCTCTTTCTCTGATTGCTTGTTATTGGTATATAGAAAGGCTAGATTTTTGTAG